AAGGAAATATTACAGTCTGTGATCCACCATACAAGCCAAAGATCACATTAGCTTTAACTACTTTTGGCTGGGCTCATCTTGATCAATGCACTCTTAGGGACGTCACGGTGGTGCTGATGCTGTGGGTTCACTTGCACAACTGTAAACATGCAGTCATCAAACTAATGGCCCCTGACAGGCTCAACCTGCCGTTTCTTAAATGTATTACTGGGATGCAGGAAGCAAGAGATAAAAGCCAGGTAAAATGTAGAGGTCAGGGACCTGCTTCTCTTATTGAACAATGGGACACAGACACTGGAAAGTTCACCCAGAGCAGAGGCTCTGTAACACAAGAAGCTCAAAGTGGCTGATGTTGGGGCACCTGGGAGATGTACTGACTTAGTGCATCTGTGTAAAAATGGTTCCTGTGAAGTTCCTTCAAGAAGTTATTTCTGTTCTTTCCTGGAGGAGCCCTTATAGAAGAAGGGGGTAGTACCACTGTCTACCCTCTCCTGGGTATGAATTCCAGCTCTGGGATAGCTGTTCCCACAGGTGCAAAGAGGTGAAGATTGCCACCTCTCTGCACATAGGAGCTATTCAAGGTCCAGGTGCCAGAAGCCATTGTAAAAAGGGCCAGGAATAGCAATGTTGGTAAAAAGTAGGGACAGGCAAACTGGCTTGGATAACATAAGTGACCTGAACCTGCAGCCAAGACTCAAAACAAACCTTTTCTGAGGTTCAAAGCAGCATGGGTACCCTTCCCCCACCCTCCCCCAGGCTTTCTCCCATTATTTTGAGTTTCCAGGTACCTCTCTGAATTTCAAGATATCAGATGGATCAAGAAGTTGAAGAGTAAGAAGGTCCTATTCTCACAGTATCTTCAGCCCAGAAAGAAGCTGGAAGTAATGGAATTTTTATAGGGAAGCCTGTTGTCATGAGATTCCCAGCTCTATTTTCCAGACTCAAGAGGCTCAGATTAACTCTGGATGCAAATTTTGGACACTTACCTAACTGAACCCGAGCGCCAAACGTTCTGAGGTTCATCCATTGCTAATAAAAAGAACAACAGGCCTTATTGTTGTATTTGTGGAATTGGTTCTTCATGAAGCAGCTCTTTGAGGGCAAGCTTGACTCTCCCCAAAAGGGAGATTGGTAAGAGAGTGGCGATACGGTGGCTGAAATGGCTCCATTCAGAATGGAATGAGTTTTTAACAGTAGGGTACTTGGGCTTTACAGATGAGATCTTGATGTGGCTCATTACAAAGGGAAGTGAGAGGAAAGAACAAAGTGATTATAATACTTGAAATTCTTCTGTACCATAACATCGAATAGTTTCAGTCTTACCTAAAGCACTGGGTACCTGGGGACAAAATGCAGCACCATGTGCCAGCTATATTACCATGCAAGCACTGATATTCCTATGGACAGTCAACCCTGTTGATTCTTATATGGTTTCTATCAGCATAGAATCTGAACACCTCACAAACATTAGTAAGTTATTCTCACAACACCTCTGTGCTGTAGGATAGTAGAATTATCCCCACTTATACATGGGAAACTGAGGCACAGAGAAATTAAAGGTAAAATTTTCAAAGCACCTAAGTGGATTAAGAATCTAAGTCACCTTTTCAAAAGTTCATTTTAGGCTCCTAAGTGCCATTGATTTCCATAAGACTTCGTTTAATAAGTGATTAAGTCACTTTGGAAATGCAGCTTAGGCTCCTAAATTGCTTAGGAGCTGCTGAAAATGTTCCCCTTAGTGACTTGCCCAAGATCACACAGGAAGTCTGTGCCAGCCCCAGAAACTGAACTTAGATCTTGAGTCCTAGTCCAATTCCTTAACTCTCAGCCTTTGTTCTTGCATTCTGCTGCTGTACAGTGCTTGCTATAGAGAATAGCAACACATTCCTTCTGTTGATACTACTCTAGCGTACATGAGCTGCCTGCTGGGAAGGAGGAGGTGTGAACAAATCCCAGGGCTTGTTAACAGGGTTTATGAATCGTGTACCAGCTAGGGCCCTGTGTTCCCCAACCTGCATGGGGAAGGGTATCTGGCAGCAGAAAGGATGGCATTTCAAGTTGGCAGATAAATAACTTGTTAATAACTCTGATAGTCAGGGAAGTCAGCTGCCCATGCAATGGACTATAGAAACTCAAATGAATCCCTGAGAGCTTGTCTCTCCTGGGATCTCCATGACCCCTCTGCCAGTGCTCAGGAAGAGCAGGGATCTGTCTGATTTGAATGCAGAGGGGACAAAAGATGGTGAGAGGGGAAAAGGAGTCTGCTGAGACTGAGAATGGAGATAGAGGAGGAGAGAAACTGTGACTATAACAGGCTGGGTTATAAAGAGACTGGGAATGGGAACTGGGAGGAGTGGAGACTGGGATTGGAAGTCAGTGATGGAAATGTGGGGGAATAGAAGTAAGTTGGTGGGGTGTGGTGGGGGGGACACTGAGATTGGACAAGGAACTGTGGAGAAAGGGAAAGACTAGGTCTGGCTGAGTAAGGAAACTGGCACTAGGAACAGGTCTTGGGGGGAACAGGAGTGGGGGGAAGGGAGATAGATCTCACAAGCAGCTGGGGTGTGGAGGGAGAACTGGGCAAAGAGATTGGAACATGGAGCCGGGAAGGGGGTGGGAAGGACAGATGGTGTTTGAATGGAGAGATGGGAGGGACCAGGAGACTGGGACTGGGTTTGGGGAATGGGAGAGACTAAGAGTAGGAGGGAGAAACGGGGCCTCAGTGAGCCTGGAGAAGGAGACTAGGACTTGCTGGGCAAGGAGTCTGGGAGAAGAAGCCTGAGGAGTGGAGACTGGGACTGGGTATGTAATGAAAATGGGACTGGGACCAAGGGACAGGGGCAGAGAAGAGACGGGACAGGGACAGGTTGGAGGGGACAAGGCAAGAGAAATTAGCAGGAGACTACACTCCCTTCCAGAATCTAAAATTGAGCCAGAGATTCCTGAGACTCACCATGCCTCTGCTATCAGCAAATATCGGGGAACCCCACTGGCAAAGTGCATCTCATCCCTCTCTGGTGCTGGTATCAGTACTTGGTTAGCTCAAATGACAGAGGTCAGTGTGGTGGACTTAAAGGTTCCAGACCTACTGAGGGTCCACGTGCATGTCAAGGTGATGCCACATAAAGGAATTAATTTTCTTCCAGTTTGTTTTTTTAAAAAAACTAGCAAATTACGTCGAAAAAAAAATTACCATAAAAGAATATTGTTCTGGTTGCAAAATCAAGAACTCAGAAGTTAGGAAATGCCAGAATTAAGGTTGCCTGTGCAATTTCAGTTACAGTGTCTCATGAGTAAGATACGTTTCCCATTCATTGTACATTTTTCTCCCCCACACAACATAGCCAAGTAGATGAGAAGAATTTGGACCCAACATACCTAACCAACCATGAGAACTGCTGCATCTTAAAACTAGCCTGAGATGATGTCTTTAAAAAATCTCTCACTTTTATTTTAATCTAGTGCCAAAAAGAGGGGAAGTGAAACGAGCTGATGCAGATACATTAACTAGCGAGGTGTGTGACTAGACCAGGATGGATTGGACTAGTGATGTGGACTTCGCTGTATATTTTGCTTTGAGTATGGCTTTTTTCCCCAAACGATCAAGAGTCCAGACAAATGTACAGTTTCAAAGTGACCATTATTCGAGTTTGAGAAGAACCTCCCCCCACCCATGTTCCTTTCTTTTGCAGCTCACAAACCAAATTAATTATAATTAACAACCTAATGATGCTTGATTTCCTCTGATCTGTTCGATTTGCCAGGGGCTTATAAAAGGCTTTATTGTTTTCTTTGATAATAAACTATACTGGATTCCATTGTGTATAGAATCATAGAATCATAGAATCTCAGGGTTGGAAGGGACCTCAGGAGGTCATCTAGTCCAACGCCCTGCTTAAAGCAGGACCAATCCCCAATTAAATCATCCCAGCCAGGGCTTTGTCAAGCCTGACCTTAAAAACTTTAAGGAAGCAGATTCTACCACCTCCCTAGGTAATGCATTCCAGTGTTTCACCACCCTCCTAGTGAAGAAGTTTTTCCTAATATCCAACCTAAACCTCCCCCACTGCAACTTGAGACCATTACTCCTTGTCCTGTCCTCTTCTACCACTGAGAATAGTCTAGAACCATCCTCTCTGGAACCACCTCTCAGGTAGTTGAAAGCAGCTATCAAATCCCCTCTCATTCTTCTCTTCTGCAGACTAAACAATCCCAGTTCCCTCAGCCTCTCCTCATAAGTCATGTGTTCCAGACCCCTAATCATTTTTGTTGCCCTTCGCTGGACTCTCTCCAATTTATCCACATCCTTCTTGTAGTGCGGGGCCCAAAACTGGACACAGTACTCCAGATGAGGCCTCACCAATGTCGCATAGAGGGGAATGATCACGTCCCTCGATCTGCTCGCTATGCCCCTACTTATACATCCCAAAATACCATTAGCCTTCTTGGCAACAAGGGCACACTGCTGACTCATATCCAGCTTCTCGTCCACTGTCACCCCTAGGTCCTTTTCCGCAGAACTGCTGCCTAGCCATTCGGTCCCTAGTCTGTAGCTGTGCATTGGGTTCTTCTGTCCTAAGTGCAGGACCCTGCACTTATCCTTATTGAACCTCATCAGATTTCTTTTGGCCCAATCCTCCAATTTGTCTAGGTCCCTCTGTATCCTATCCCTGCCCATCAACCACTCCTCCCAGTTTAGTATCATCCGCAAATTTGCTGAGAGTGCAATCCACACCATCCTCCAGATCATTTATGAAGATATTGAACAAAACTGGCCCCAGGACCGACCCCTGGGGCACTCCACTTGACACCGGCTGCCAACTAGACATGGAGCCATTGATCACTACCCATTGAGCCCGACAATCTAGCCAACTTTCTACCCACCTTATAGTGCATTCATCCAGCCTGTACTTCTTTAACTTGCTGACATTTAGCTGAAATCTGCACGACTGTGAAAGCTGAGTGCCCTGGAATGATTGTCAGCCAGAGAAATTCCCTACCTGCAGGACCAGAGATGGGAACAGTGCTGAGTTGGAGGCTCTCCAGAATCTTTTGTTCCAATCTGATCCTTTTCTGGCTGTCTCCTTTGGTGAATAGATTGCTCGAGTCTGGAGCCGCATCTCGAGATGTCTTCTCTCCATCGACTAGAACACAAAAAAGCCACAGTCTGGTTTATGACTGCACAAAAAAGCCACACTCTGGTTTATGACTGCACTCCATATCTCAGCAAATGGAGGTAAGATACAGCTGGTGGCCACTCTGCCTGGGTCAAGAGTCTGCCAGCCACAGGGCAAAACAATATTAAAGGGAGGGCAGAAGGGCATTTTATTGCTGCTGTGGGAGTTGAAACAAACGAAGGAGAAAAGGAAGTGGGAGGAAAGCATGCTGAACAAAAAAGCAAAGCAAATGAAGCTAATAAGCTGAAATAGAGAACTGAAAGGGACACAGTCTAACAGAGTGGGTCTTACCAAGATTTAGGTGCTAAAATGGTAGATAGGTAACAATATATATTTGCTATTTAAAGTCTGGCAATCTCATCGTCACATCAGTTCCTGTTCTAGATTGCAGGAAGATACTGGGATAATTTAACACACTTACATATTAAATAATTAGCCACATATGAGGCTAGAGATGGGCCAGTCATAAATGCTGAATCCAAATCTGAACTTACCCAGAGCATGGGGTGATTCTGTAACCTGGTGTTTTGGCTGGGCAAGCTATAGATATTGGGCCAGCCATGAAGTTTGGGTCTAGATCCAAACTTTCTTTGAAGTTTGGAGGACAGCTTAGATCCTGGGTTTTGATTCAGACCTATCTTTGTGTGAGTCAAATGAAACTGCCCTATTCCAATAAGAACACTTCACTTGATGGTCTTACGAAATTAGGGTCAATCACAGAATACCTAGGTTTACCTCTTTTCCCAGGCAGCATCCAATTTCTATTCATTTAGTCAGTTTATTGTCACAGATAACAAACCAGCTAAGGAGGAATGTTTTGCAACCACAAATTGGCATTTGAGCCATATTGTGTAGACAGATGATGCCACCATCTGGATTTGTAATGGACACTTCTCCACCGTATGTCTCATTATCAATTCAAATGCAAAGTCAACGCTCAAGAAAACTGATAAAACGTAGTGAAAGAGTCTCCTTCATCTGCACACAGGTACAATTTCAGGGATTTACCCTGATATTTCTGGAAAGATTTAGAAAACAACTGTACCCCTTCACCCGATCACAAATAAAGGCTAACAAGAGGCACACTTACTTGTTAGATAACAGTCCAGGCTAAGAGACACATTGTCAAAAGCAATAATGGCATCGGATTCTTCTTCCCATGAAGTGATGATCTGAAGCCAAAACCTGTACAGATGGGGGTAAAGAAAAGGGATCTAGTTAAGTTAAGGAGATGCGATTCCAGAGTTATCCAAAAATAAAAGGATAAGTTTTAGAAAAGAGAAAACTTCTCCTTTGACATAGGATCATGCAATCTTATAGTAATGGAGAAAGAATACTGAACCCTGCCTTGCAAAGGTCAATTGGGTACTATGCTGATGGCGACTGTAGAAATACCTAGATAGATACAAAGGGGAGTATGCTTATACTTTTGTTGCAGAAGGCAAAACTGAGGCACAAGGAGAATAAGTGTCTTGTCCAAGCTCAGACAGCAAGTTGGGGAAGAACCATGAACAGAACCCAGTTCTCTTGATTCGCAGTGTAAAATTTTCAAAAGCACTGGAGTGACTTCAGAGCATAGGTTCCCTTTTCAAAAGTGACTTAGGCACTTTGGGCTGGATCCACCATGATGACTTAGGCTCAGCAATGAACTGCCTAATGTTTAGGGGCCCTGCTGCCTACTGGGATTCACAGCCCTAAGTTAGGCTCCCTATTCAATACATGTGGAGAGTTAGGTGCCCAAGAAGGGGATTCACAAAAGCCAGCATGCCATGTGGGGAGCTGCCCACGCTAGTAAATAGGTAATGCTGAGGAGAGGAGTGTGGTATAAATCCCACCCTTCAAAGGCAGTTAGATGTCTAACTTCAGGCCAGAGGGAGGCTTATCCCTCTATTCGGGATTCACAGCTGTGAACCCTTTCCTGGAGATAGGTGCCTAAGCCAGGTCAGGCCTTTCGTTCAAAGAAACCAAGGAGGATGTGATCCAAACCCCTCCTCTGCCAGATGAGGGATTTAAACCCAGGTCTCCCACCTCCGAGGGGTGTGCCCTAACTGCTGGGCTTATGTACAGTGACTTCCATTCTCTCTCTGGCCCAATCCATATTTGTTATATCTGACCCAAATTCACAAGGAGTTTTGGTTCCCTAAGAAATGCATTTTTCAGCAACTTAACTATTCACTGAAAAAAAAATCATCATTTCTAAACCTGGGTGAGTGCTCTAACCACAGCGCTAACGGGTATAAAAGGAGAACCCCCACCACCACTCCCTCTGACCATGTTTTGTGAGAGGCCCCATCCAGTAGGGGACTTCTGAGAAAGCCTTCTGCTTTGGGCCCCATAGGTATGACAGGCAGGAGGAGGTCTACTTTGAGGAACATGCCGGGGCTTAAACATGAGTTAGCCACTGGGCGTCAAGACTTGGGCTGTCCTCTACACTGGAATATACATTTACCACTGATTCATCACAAAAGGAAATTCAGAATCTCTAACTCAGATCTTGCAAGACAAATGACAGAAGAATTTGCCACTTGCAGACTATAGGAACCGTAGAACTGTTTATTTTAGTGCAAAAGAGACTGAGCATACATTTGCATTAAATCCTTTCATGCTCCCAGCTGGCCTTCAGAGGGGAGATAGGAAGAAATATCATGGCAAATTCATTTTCAATTATTTTTCAAGCCAACTGATATAGCAAAAATATTAATTTACAATAAATATTTCCAGTTCTATAATATATAGCCAGTGTAATAATATAGGGTACTCATGGGCTTAAACGGACTCTTAGAATCTAAGCTGTGCAATTTCATCTGTTCCTGCTGCTTATCTGCCACCTGGAGTCATAAGCCTTTCCTTAGGACACAAGAATAATTTCTAACGGTAACCAACCATGACACTGGGACAAGATGTTGGTCTCAAAGGTTGTATCAAGGCCACAAAAAATGATACCTTCAGGTGAAGACCGAGTAGCAAGAGAATATGAAATCTGAAAAACAGGAAAGCTCTTGAGCCAAATTCTCTGCCACTTCCTGATTCTCTGCCTTATCCCCAGCCCAGGGTAGAACAGTCATAGGGCTGGTCTACCTTGTGCCACTTGTCTATGGTCTCCGAGGGTATATGTACATTGCAATTAAAACCCCATAGCTGGCCAGAGCCAATTGACTCTGGCTCATGGGGCTCAGCCCAAGAGGCTGTGTAACCACAGTGTAGATGTTTGGGCTTGGGCTGCAGTCAGAGCTCTAGGACCCTCCCACCTTGCAGGGCACTAGAGCGCAGGCTCCAGCCTGAGCCCAAACTTCGACACTGTAATTAAACAGCCCCTTAACTCAAGCCCTGCGAGCATGAGTCATCTGACATGGGCCAGCTGCGGGTTTTTAATTGCAGTGTAGACATACTCAAAGAGACTATTTGCCAAGCTGGGTTTAGCTGGGGTGAAGCCCACTCCACCTACTTCCAGTCCCCACCACTGTCATCCTTCCTGTGCTAGGGACCCTGGGGACAGAGGCAAAGGATCTGGCACAGCCAGGAATCCACAAGCAGCAAAGTTGCCGGTGGTCTCTTTGCACCACCCGAGTGACACAAAGGGAGTGAAACAGAGTAGAAATATCAGCCCCCTTATCTCCAGGCAAATGCCCTGATCAGAGAAGAGTCTATTTATTCCTTTACTCTTTATTTCTGCAAATGCAAAAACTGTAATGCTGAAGTTTCTCCCCTCAGCATGAAGGGGGCGATATGAGCTATACAGAGAATGTATCAAAAATAGACTTATTTTTAAAATGTTCTGAAAAACCAGAAGCAGCAGCTGTTTAGAAGAGGCTGATTGACGCTGGGAATGGCATATATTCTGAAGGAAAAACATTGCTAACAATCAGAGGGAACTCAATCAGATGTCAAAACACAAACATGTTTTCTGAACTGAACTACCTTTATCACCTAGGAAGCAACCGCTCGACCTAAATAACTCCTGAGAGAAATCACAGAAGCATATTCCTTTCCCTCCCCATCTTCTGTGCTGCAACAACCTGGTACTGCCAGAAGCTCTGGAGGTTTTTAGTCAATCTCCTGAAGCCCTAATTAATACGGGCACGGGGGTAAATCAAGGGAAAGCCTTGCCCAACATGTTTTGCTTTTGCAGTCCACAGTGATGCAAGCACACACACATAGACACACACACACACACACAGGCCTCTCTCTGCCCATCCATCCATATCTTTCTGTTTGTTCCAAAGCTGAAACCCCAACATGCTTTGAATAAAATAATCAAAGTATTCCAGGTACTGGTGTAAAAATGAACACAGTGACACTAGGCATCCCAAATGGCTCACATTCCCCTCACTCAATACTTGGCACAACACATATAGCATTTAGGGCACAGGACTGAGTGGCTGGAGACTTGGGTTATATTACAGGCTGCAGCATTGACTCACTATGTGTCCTTGGGAAAGTCACTTAGAGCTGATCTAAATGGCATGGTAAAATGTTCTAAAGGGGTGTGATTTGGAAAGCACTTTAATGTGTTGTGCTCTAAAAGGTATCTAGTCTGCATTAATGAGCCCACCAGCAGGGTCTACATGGGGACAACTAAAGCACAACGGGTTAGAGCATTTTGTAAATCACACCTCTCTAGAGCACTTTGCTGCATCACATAGACAAGTCCTTTATCATGTACAAATCATCCTCAGTTTTAGATAAGAACACTGCACATCTCTCAAAGGGGGAAGTCCTTAGCTGTCTGTTGCACAGCCACAGGAATCTGCGAGGACTACAATCAGGAGGAATGGAGCATACTCACCACCATTACTGTTGCCTTGGCTGCAGAATCTGCTGCACCCAAAGAAGCCTGCAAAGCTGATTGAGAAATGAGGCAGCTCTCTGTGATGAGTGAGTAACCTTGTTCTCTGGAACCTTCTGGTAGCTTGCTCACAAACTGAGATATTGCCACCTAGCTACAGAAGTCCTACCTTGACAATGGATGGTAATTGCAATGTGAAGTTGTACATTTGCTGAAGAATAAAAGTCTTTCTACCAAAACAGTCAAGCTTTTGGGCACCTTTGTCTCTGAGTTAGCTTTAGCCCAGCCCTGCTGGCTCTCTTCATTCACCACGGCCACTACCAAAGAGTCAGGGGTAGACGGAAATAGTTTTCCGTATTTTCAGTTTTTACCAATTTCCACTGATAAATTACCAATTTCTTTATTAAAAGGAGTTTGGTTTTTACTGATTTACACCCGTTTATCAATCCACTTGGTATTTTTGTGGGTACTTATTTTTGTTAAACACTAGTGCTTTACGCGACTGTTGTTTCCTGCAGTGCTAGGATTGAAGCAGTTCCACAGTGTAAAACGCAGAACACCCACACAGGAGAGGTCGGCAAATCAAACAACATGAATATTGTGCTATGATTTGCTCACAAGGAGATGCTGCCCACCTATTTCTCTTGAGTCCATTTAGTGCGGCACTGAATTGAAACAATCCTCCCCAGAGAAATAATTCTAATGCCCCATATCCACCTAGTTACCTCCTTTAGTGCCAGTCTCCTTACAGGTTTGGATGGACAGGCCTGGGTTCTTCTGTATCCCCACACAGCTAGTTCTGCCCTCTCTGTGGCTGGCTCCAGACTACCCCAAAATGGCTTCTCCCCACTGCAGGGTTCCCAGGGGAGGGTCGCGCACTCCCTAGTGGTCAGACTAGTGGTCGAGTTCAGGATCCTGACACAGGGAAAAAAGGAGAGCAGCAGGATACGGACCCTGGACTTCAGAAAAGCAGACTTCGACTCCCTCAGGGAACTGATGGGCAGGATCCCCTGGGAGAATAACATGAGGGGGAAAGGAGTCCAGGAGAGCTGGCTGTATTTTAAAGAATCCTTATTGAGGTTACAGGGACAAACCATCCCGATGTGTAGAAAGAATAGTAAATATGGCAGGCGACCAGCTTGGCTTAACAGTGAAATCCTTGCTGATCTTGAACACAAAAAAGAATCTTACAAGAAGTGGAAGATTGGACAAATGACCAGGGAAGAGTATAAAAATATTGCTCGGGGATTCAGGAGTGAAATCAGGAAGACCAAATCACACCTGGTGTTGCAGCTAGCAAGAGATGTTAAGCGTAACAAGAATGGTTTCTTCAGGTATGTTAGCAACAGGAAGAAAGTCAAGGAAAGTGTGGGCCCCTTACTGAATGAGAGAGGCAACC